TTTTTTTTTTTTTTTTTTTTTTTTTTTTTTTTTTTTGCTTTTGCTGTCTTCATAGCTGAAGCTGATTTATAGTTTCAAAGCTGATTTTTCACATATAATAGAACTGCACCATTTCAGAGTATTGCAGACAAATCTCTCTGATTCAGCACTAAGAAATCATACCAGCACTTTACTGGGAAGTAGTATTAGCATTACTTATTTTATTGTTGTTGGTAATATACAAGCTTATTTCATACAAGTTCTGCAAACTGTTATCAAGGATATTATAAAGTATAATTTCTCAGTAGCATAATTCCCACAGGTCTGTAAATGTATTTAGGTATTTAATTTATGGATCTATTCAAGATGCTCCCAAAGGAAAAAAAAACAGTAGTTATTTGAATACACCTTTCTATTGTGTTTTGGAGAGGGAGTAGCCAAATACATGTTCATACTTTCAACTGCTTTACCACTGGACCAGTGGGGGTTTTTGCACTGAGCTACATTTTTGGAGGACTTGCTTGCCACAGAGTTTACAAGTACGCAGGGTAAAATGAAAAAATGCATACATTAATCTTCTGTGACCAATATTGTGCACATCTACATGTGCACATTGATAGATGTAGTAGGCAACGTAGTAACATGATACAAAGAAGTCTCAAGTACTTAAATTTTTTTTGTTTGATTTGATTTTATTTTTCTTTTCTTTGGTCTTCACAAATAGAGCTTGCTCCCAGGCCTCTGCAGGTGCTGGCTTGGTTTGGGAAGGAGCAGGTCAGCCAGCAGTGGGAAAGCTTTGGATTGGAAATCGCTTAGGAAAGTTGGATGCACCCATAGACATAGTGAAGTTTTCCCAGTTGTGCTGAAAGAGCTGATTATTGTGATTTGAACCCCTGTAAGTCAACTCCAAAAAATCATGGTAGTTGGGAGAGATCCCTTTTGACTAGAAAGATGCCATGACATGTCTTTTAAAAAAGGCAAGGAAGAAGGTTCAAGGAACTACAGGCAGTCAGCCTTGCCTCAGTCACATTGTTTGGCATCTTCATTGATGATTTGGCTGATGATAGAAGGAGATTTGCATGTGACATGAGATTAAGGGGTGTGACTGGAACACCATATGGGAGAACACCAATTCTGTGCGACCTTGATAAACTTGGGAACTGGGCCAGCGGAAACATCATGAAGTTCATAAAGTGCAAAGATTTGCACCTGTGATGGAATAATCCAAGGCATGAGTCACTGCCCTGCCACAAAAGACTGATGAGTTACAATGAACACCAGCTTGAATATAAGTCAGCAGTGTTGCCTCAAGGCCTTTAAGGTGTTGGGCTACATTAGAAGGATAATGGATGACAGATCTGGGGAAATTATTACCACCGTTACTTAGTGCTGACAAGGCCACATGGAATATTGTGTCCAGCTTTGGCTCTCCCATTTCAAGAATGGTGTTGAGAAACTGCATCTGGTCCAGGAGACAGGTATGAAGGTGATTGGGGTCTAGTGCTGGTATTCCATGAGGAGAGGGAGCTGGGTAAACAGCAGGCTAAGGAGCAGTTACTGGTCTACAGCAACTGAAGTGGCACTAAAGGAATGACAGAAATAGACTCTTCTCAGTAGAGACAGACAATAAACAGATGGGTAGCAGACACAAGTCCTGGCTTGGGAGGTTCAGATTGGAGTTGAGGAGAACCAGTTGCACTAGAATGTTGATGTAGCCATGGAAGAGGGTCCCATAAAGGCTACAAAATCTCCATCATTGGTGGATTTCAAGACTTCTGTAGGAAAAGCCATGGCTGACCCAATATTGTGTGAGAGGTAGCCTCGTTTCAAGAGGGGTTGTCTTTCAAAATTACTTCTGCAATTCCATTATTTAAAGCATTGGTTTGTATTCATCAAAGTTTGTACATAGGTAACTTCTAGGAACCTGTTACATGATACAAGGAAGAAAAAGGACATATATAGTTTCTGTGTACTTTATAATCAGCAAGCCAGTAGTTCTCTACTTTATTACCCCAGTATTCTTTTAATGCTTGTATTTTTCTTTATGAGCCCTTATGAATCATTGTTTTGTACTGGCAATTGTTGAATGATCTTAACAAGTTGCTGCAGTACTGAAAACAGTTCACAGCAGTCCAAGTTTCAGAATCCCTTATGAAGTTATGAAGTGGTCTCTGTTTAGTGAATCAGTTAGATCTCATCTTTATTTTCAGAACTATAATTTCTTGTAGTATTCTGGAAAGGAAACCATTTTGCTTACTTTTTTTTTTTTTTNTTTTTTTTTTTTTTCCTTTAGTGTAATCTTTATATATTTTGACTATAACTCTAGTCTGATTATTATGTATCTATATCGTGTTGGAGTTTTTTTATTCATGCCAACATAACTCAAAGCTGTCTGTAATGGAAATAAACTGGAAATAAGACAACAGCAGTAAATTAAAGAAAACCAACCAATGTAAAGTCTGTGCTGCCCAGCTAAGTGTTTTCTCTCTTTGCCTTTTACCATAATATCATTTTGCATGCATATGTTTTCTTTGCTTGCCTGTTATCTCTGTGCTTCTCTCTGTCTAGCATAAAGGAACATCTCTTTTTTATATTTCATTCTGCCACTTTTTTTCAACAGTTCTTGTCATATTTTTATCTGCAGGCCCTCCATTAGTTTCCTCTAAATAATTGGTTAGGAGACAGTTGATTTTCCAAATAAATCAAAAAACTGAGAACAGACACACTGGATTTTATTCTTGTCATTTGCGAGTAAAGATTGGTTAAAAGAACTGTTTTGAAAACACAAAAATTTAAGAAGAATGTTTTAAAAGGTACCTGGAATTTATAAACTAAGGATCAATATAGACTACTTTACTGAGCAGTCATGTACTTAATTAGTGGTTTTATAGTGTGTTAGCAGTCAGAACACCTTCATATTGCTTGCTACTAGTATTAAGAACTGGTTTTTTTTCCTGAAGAATGTTCATCTCATTTCCTATATTTGTTTTTCAGCTTGCTTGGGAATTTGGAATGCCATTTTTTGAGACCAGTGCTAAAGAAAATGTGAACATTGAGCACGCATTCTCAGTCTTGACTAAGGAAATCCTGGAAAAGGTAGGCTTCTTTTCCAAGGAGAAGGAAGATGGGAGATTTTTCTTGAGAGATTGGGTAAACAAGGTTGTAACTACAGAATAGTTTAAGCAAAGCAGAGCTGATGCTGTTTTTGCAGTATGGAGTTAGTATTTTGGGAGGATGCTGTGGCTGCAGGCATACAGAGGAGAGGCATGGGGGAAAGAAGAAAAACAGAAGAGGAGAGCAGGTACAATACAGTTCAGAGAGAAAGTGAAAATGCAGGAAGACTATTTTGTGGCTTTATTTCCCATATTTTCCTTTATGGGAGTGGTTAACAGCTCTTGAGTAGTTCCACTTCTGTGCCAGGAAGATTCCTATTTCCTCTAGGTTTCTGCAGAGTGTGCACACAGTGAAGATGCTGCATGATGATGGAATCACTGGAGCTTTTATGTTCAGCAATTAAATGTTTTATCCAAGATTCATACCTGTTTGTTTGGCTGATTTACACTAGTGCTTTTGAAGTTATCAGGGCCTAAATATTTGGGTTAATTCATGGTAGAATCAATATGGATACTGTCAGAGTCAGCATCTCTCTAACTTGAGTGTGTTGGCTTAAAGGTCCTTACTCCTCAAAGTTCCAATTCTTTTGTAGGACTGAATTACTGTTAATTAGCTCTGAGCATGTTTTGCATTGCATTTTATTTTTAAGGAGCAGAATATTATTTTAGACATTAATAGATGTTCTTCATGCAATGTATTATCACTGCCATTCATCACCAATATTAGTTGTACAAAACTAACCTTCCACTCCAAATACTCTTCAAGTCATAATAAAGATAAATGAGCAAAATTACTGACAAAGTCACAAGTAGTAGTGTTTTGATTAAGTAGCCATAGGGGATGGTCAGAATAATAGTTCAGGGTTGGACTGCTTCTAAATCGAGGTCCTGTCATACTACATAGTTGCACAAGTTGTAGTTGGTTATTTTGGTGGAGGAAAAAAAAGGAAAAAAATATTTTGGTTACCTTGACATGAAAGTGAAACTCAGCAACTGAACAGCCAAATACTGTTTAGAACAGGAGGATAATAGCAGACCCTTGAGTTACTGAGCTTGTTGGAAAAAAGTCTCAAGTAAAATAACTCTGATTTTATTGTAAAGGAAAAAGTTATTGTCTACTGTAAATAGAGAATATACTATTAGTATGAAATATGAAAACTACAAAACAATAGCTATGATCATAACTGCTGCAAAGACAAATATATGTGAAGTGAGCATTTCTACAGAGTGTGTTTGGATGATATCTAAGATAGTTCTCTGCACATGCAGAAATGATGTTTGGGTATTTTTCATATTAAGATTGCCTACACTTACTTTACGGTAAGTGAAACTTCAGTATTCCAACTCACCTTCATGAAAATTCATGTGGTTTGTAGCGTGGACATGGCAAAAAAATTCAGACAACGTTGAATATGCTTGGTTTTAATTAGAACTGCTTTGAACAGTTGTATGCTCTGCATGTATGTGTGTTTGGAAAATGTGCCCATAAGAATTTGTCATATTTGTCTGTAGTAATGTTTCACCTTAGCTAAAAATATTTGGAATACTGATGAGGCATCATGTACCGTTACTTTGGTGTATAATTTGCCATTTTTAGTAAAATGCATTTGTTGATTTAAACAAGAACCCCTTTAGCACAATTGGTTTTACCACTGGCCTGATAAGAGTTTGCTGGAAAAAAAATCTACTATACAGTTTCATCATGGTTTTCAGGTTCGACAAAATAATTTGCCTGTTCACAAAACTGTGAAATCTGAGTCTAGTACTTGAATTTTAACTTCATCTAACTGATGAAATTTTGGAGAATGGAAAATGCAGTAGCAAGTGTGACTAGTAGCTGTGAAAAATGACATGATAGATGCCAGTCTGAGATAATTTCAGTCATACATCTGTTTGGTAGTGGTGAAATACGTATTTCCAGATTGTAAAAAGGAGATACAGCTTTGCACAGTGTTTTGGCCCAAGGCACCTATGCCTGGGGATATCAGGCCTCCCTGCCCTCTGCAATGGATGAGATGATGTGACTGATGAGATGCATCCTCTGCAGTGGATGAGATGATGAGACTGATGAGATGCATCCTCTGCAATGGATGAGATGATGAGACTGATGAGATGCTTCAGTGGAAGCACATCATTGCTTTCCCAGTCTCACAGAATAAAGGAATTCCCTAGGACAGTCTATTATGGCCCACTTTTGGGAAGTGCATGAAGCTTACTCAGAGTTAAGATAAATAAACAGGGTAGGCTGGCAGGCAGTAGTCCATTCTCAGATGCATTGCAGTAGACTGTATTAATCTGAGGAAATCTCAGACTTTTTGTGTACATTCTTGCTTGCCATCTACTGTGGACATGTCCTTAGTAACTTCATTTACACAAAGCACTCCTGTAGATGGGGAAGATTGATGTCTAGAGTTATAGAGCTCATACAAAAGTACTAAACTTCTTGATTCTTTCAGAATTTATAACAGGTTGTGGTTCAGTGGTGGCTTGGGGAAAAAAAAAAACATATTAAAATATTTCATATTAAAGACATTTAAACAACACAAAACAAAAAAGCACAAGTGTTTCAGTGTATTGTTATGATTTTGTACTGCATTTTCCCATTTCTTTTTGCAGTTTGTGTTCTGTTGGGCTTAAGGGAGAGATAAGACTTCTGTATCCCAGTGATCTGGATAACTAAAGTGCTGCTTGATCTTTCAGATACTTTTCATCTCAGCCATTCTATGCTGGGTCTTGGTCCTGCAGCTCTAATTTACATGAGCAGTCTCATTAATGTTTTTCTGAGATATTTTTTTGCTTACATTGGTAACAGCTAAGGAGTCATGCCATATTTCTGAGAACTCACAATTTTCAAACCAATCAGTTAATAATAACTGAGTGCAGTACTTGAGTTTTAACTTCCTCTGACAGACAAGTTTTTGGAGAAGTGCAATAATAACCAATTTGATTGTATTTGAAAGGCTGCAGTGGAAATAAATGTTAATGACATAGATTATTCCAGGAGTTTGCTTAGACATGTTGACAAATAACAGTATTTTATTTATTCACAAGTCTCATGAATCTCAGATATGCCTAAACCTGTTCATCAATAGATGACAGCTGTTGTTTGACAATGCTTCTGGTTGCCAGTGAACTATTTGGACTTGTGAGTCAGTCCTGAAAACAATCAAAACCAAAAAACTACCACCCAGAATGCAGTTAGCATTTCCTCTTTTGTGTTCTTTGGTTTCATGCCTGGCAAGCAGTGGTGTTCTCAAGTAGGTTTTCAAAAACATATTACAAGCCTTTGTATATGTCCTTTTGGTGTGATTGTTGGTATTTTTCTAAACTAGGATCAGGAGAGAACTCTCTTAAAAAAAAACAAAACAAAAAGAAGAATGAAGTTACCAGCTTTTTCTGAAAACTGCAATAAAACTAACCAAAACTTCTATTCTGCCTACCTCCCAAGAGTGATTGACTACTAAGACTATTTTAATCATATTAAATATATATATATCTACTGAGTAGAGAGCAGTGAAAATCCATTTAAGACCTTGCCTTGTGCTGTTGGGACTGACATTTAATGTTTAACAGCTGGATGTCATTTGAGATGAACATTCAGAAGTAACAGTCCTCAATTTTGTCCTTTCTTCATTTCTTTACACTTTCCTATGGCAACAAGATTGTTGAGATTACACTGTATTTTCTATTC